GCTCCTAGACATTTTCAGAGAGTGGGCTCACCTGAGTTCATGAGGCTCAGGGTTGGTTTCTCCTGCTGCACGTATTACCGGATGTTATCGGACAGGGACAAGACGAATTGGTGACTTTGCAAAAAGTACTGTGAGATATGAAGTCGTTGCGGTAGCATAATTTAAGCAGTCTGCTTACCTGGACGACTAAGTGGCAAGCTTACGTTTGGTTACCAGACACATGTTGGACTTTGTTGGCAGGTGGCAGAGGGACACTGGCAGACAGTTCGGACACGATAGACTTTTAAGGAATGAGACATTATTTTCCACTAGACACCCCTACCAGCTCACCGAGGCCCGTCCCCCACGACGTTTCGTTGTGTCCATAACCAGCTCGAGGCCCTTTCAGCAACCTGTAACCTAGACCATCGCGTGGGAAGGTTCACCAAACATGAAGGAAAAGTGAATACATCTCATGCAAGAAAGTGAAGTGTTTGTTTGAGGCGGAATACGTTACTTTAACAGGGTCGAATTATACAGGAACGTCCCATGTTTACCACCCCATCACAGAAAGCAAGTAATAAATAGACAGATATTCAATCATATTTATAGCTGTTTGATTATCATTCATGAAATGCTAGTTCAGTCCTGAAGGAGAAAATCTGCATTCGCCAAACAAAATGAACACGGATCAACGACAAACAACTTAGCTAGTGTACTAGGGTGGAGAAGCCCTAAGTACCAAGATAAAAAATAAAGGAAAATAGTTCTTTAGGTGGGGACTAGAAACAAGAATATTCTAGTCCAGGCACGAGATCTTCTGTGTAAAGTCTAATAAGCCAGGTAACAAATAAACAAACTACGCACACTAGCCACAAGTACTAATCCGAATCAAAAAGCTGGGACTATCATTATCACATTCACATCTATTTATTTCACTGAACATCATCTAAGGTCTTCACAAATAATAATGCATTACAATTCACAACGTGTTATGAAATACCCTACAATAGATGGAACCTATCTTTCTCTCTACACACCTCAACCCACGTTGCGTAAAATCATTGAACGCAACGGACAAATCAGAACTACATGTTTCTCGTCCTAAAACCAGTGAGCCTAAGAGAACGAACTGGTCACTTCCGTCTGTTTTATCACTTCCTGACCCCCAAGTTGGCCAGGTTTTTAGCTCGCTTAAATAAGCCTAATTCAATTTATATAACAGTCGTCCAGCGGCTGTTTCACTAGTTTGCCACAGGGATCCAAGGATAGAAGTAAAGCCAGTAGCTGTAGCAAGCTTGATCCTCACAAATATCTCCCCCCCCCCCCCCTAAAGTAAACATGTCACATTTCAGGCCAGCTGCACTAGCCCAGAATCGTATTTTTGTTATCCGGTATATGCCAACGGTTATAAATTGTTGTACCCTGGTTGCACTCTTCCTCCCACACGTCTCTTCTCACTGCACTCATCTTTTTACTGAAAGCACAAATGTTACAGACACACAATTATCTACCGCCCGCCGCCCCCCCCCCCACTCAATAATTTGAAAACATCTCCACCAATTGCTTGGCTGTAACCTATGGCTCCATTTCAGTGTTCGTGATGAATTATGTCCGGGATCCATAGTTACGGATTTAAAGCTGTACCATAGATATAGCCAATGAAGACACATTTTTTTAGGGGTGCCTAGCTGGCCTAGTTTTTAGTATAGGTATTTTCATAACGACGCGCACACCCCACTGGGAGGTGACAGGTTCGACTCCCGTCATGGTAACTACAGCTCTAGATTTTTATGTTGTCTAGTGTGTTCCTTTTATCTTTCTACTTCTTTCTATGAATGCAAATCAATACATTGTCTGTTAGTGATTTTATATACATAAAAAAAAAAAAAATATATATATATATATATATATATATATGTGTGTGTGTGTGTGTGTGTGTGTGTGTGTGTGTGTGTGTGTGTGTGTGTGTGTGTGTGTGTGTGTGTGTCCCAATCTAAATGTTATAACAGCCCATTCTATTCAAACCGTTAATGTGACTTTTTCTGACGATTACATTTGACCGCTCTTACTCTTTCAGTACCAGACAAACAACTAAATGTTTTTGGTAACTCAAAGATATTTTTTACTGTCTTCTGTCATAGTTAGTAGCGAATTCTTTACAAGACGCTGCAGAACCAACCTCAACATTCGTTGGTTGGGTTTGGTTTTGCTAGGCAAGTTTACCTACAGTAGTCTGCAACTGCTACTGGTCGGTCAGCTCTTCGTGCCTATGTAGAAATCAATGCAAGGCGTCTGTCTCCGAATAGCCTCCGGCTTGAACCGATCGGGACACCCCGGAATTACCAAACGCTTTCACAACGCCTGAGCCATGGACGCCGACTCTAAACATAGACTAGGGTTATATCTGTCTTTTTAGTTTAACTGTTACTGTTTTAATGTGTATCTGTTGAATTCCTTCAGATCTCAATATTTATAGTTTGAAACTTACCACTCTGGGTATAAAATGTTAAATCCCACATGTTAAACTGATGGTTTCACGTAGATTTAGTTGAAGCCAAAATTCCTTCTAATGAAACACCAATAGTGAGACATTTAAAATAAAAGGTAACATGTACTTACCATTGCGTTGTGAAGCTGCAGTGCAGACTGAACGTACACCGGCACACTTTTCTGTCATAATTCAAGTTATCACTAATATTTATGTTTATGTTTATTCAAAGGATCAAAACCATGGCACACGGATGTAACACATAAGTGCTCCGTTCGTCTTTTACCTCAAACCTGAGTATGAAGAATCGCAGCGCAGGGCACGAACTCTGTTGCAGCTGCGAAGGTCCTGAAATAATTTGAGTAGATTTTGAACTCCAAATGTTGACAGGGCAATGCCATTAGGCTACTCTTTTTGATTTTCAACTGCAAAGGTATTTTTTACGTGCTTAACAATACACACGGGTATCTGGTCTTACTACCCAGAGACCAGAGAAACTGCTAGAGGTCCAAGTGAAAAAATCCCAGCCTTCACAGAGGCTCGAGCCCAGGCCCTCCAGCACACGAGGCGGACACTATGCCTGGAGACCACGCCGCCCCCTATCACTAATGTGGAAATGCTATATTCCATCGACAGAAAACAAGACTGCCAATAGCGAGTTCTTCGAAAGAATTAGCCACTTTATTATTTGAACAGAATAAAACTACCACATTTTTCTTTTCTGCTCAGTGAAATTTATTTACGAAAATCAAACAACTTAACGTCCAGTTATTATTTTTAATTAAAAAAAAAAATAATTCAGATTAACAGTGTTTGAAAGAAACCAAGGATTGATAAATAAATGTGGGGTTGTATCCAAAGGGTGAATGCCAAAGCGTAACAATGCTACTTTGACACACTCCATAGCACACTCGTTCCGGTCAGTGAACAGTGTTATGAAGGGGAAAAAACCTACCTTCGACCATGCCATTATTATAAACAGTCCAGTACTGAATCAAAACAATGTGCTGGGAAATATAAGAGATACACAGTGGTAGATTCGTGATTGACGGGTACACTGCAATTGTTGGCTAAACTTCTATCTTTGAGCGAAGTAGTTAGGCCCTTTGAATGGAGTAGGTTTCGGACTCGTTATTTGGTCCGTGAGTACAAGTTACTAGGAGATTCGAGGGGATCGTCGTTGGAACTATACTTTCATGCTTTGTGCAAATTTTGCGGGGGTCACTAGAGCCCTGAGAAGATAGGGCCATCCATATGTTTGAAACGTAACTACTGATTTCAGAATCGACCTCATAGCAAACTGACACCCCCACTGGCACTTAATTTAAAGTAGCAAATGTTTTAAGTTAAATGTTGTTGCCGTAATCCCTTCTTGCCGGAGCAGCATTTACAATAATTCTACAGAATAGGTAAAGCATAATGCAATGAAGATTATTCTGTCACTTTTAAACTTTCTATTTCTTCTTCTTTCCTTTGTCGTCTCAATCATACCAAGTTGTATTTGTCTTGCGCTTCTCAGGTGGCTTGGGTGATGGATTTGGCAACTTTTTGCAGGCTTCTGTTACACCATTTATCCATGTCTTTCTTGGTCTTCCTCTAGCCTTCCTCCCAGATGTTCTGCTGTAAAAAAAAAAAGACATATTTAGTGTGGCCTGGCTGAATTCTCGCTAGATGGCTGAATCTATTCATTCTTTATCTATCAATATAATTCAGATATGGTCTTATTCCAGGTATCTCTCTAATGCTGGTATTCGTAATTGACATGTAGTTTTTTTTTCTGTTTAAATGTCTTATTCATTGTCCATGTTTAGCAGTCATAACATAAAGTAGTGATAAAGATGCTGTTAATCATTTTCTGTTCTGCTGGAAGGGAAGAATTTGGGTGTCTAAGCAGTGGGGTAACTAGTAGGTGATAGCGTTTGCCTCCTCTACTCTGGCTTCTATCTATCGAGTCGGTCATCCTTAGCGCACTTTTAAAAACCATTCATCAACTTCTAGTAAAGTGACTGACTAACTTCCACAGCATTACCCATATTGAACATATAATGCTCGACTTATATGTTATGTAGACCAATCGGCACTCAATGGATTGTGTGGTCAACATCACACCGACCGCCTACACTTCCCATGACTTTACCTGGTTCTCGTTTTTAGGGTGGTTTTCCCTGAGTTATTTTTGAAAACTAGTTTCGATGAGGATTCGAACCTAAAACCTTCGAATCCTTGGCATGTGTTTGGCCGTTTCACCACGGCAGCTTAGACAATTATAGTCAGAGTTATTTTTGAAAATTAGTTTCGATGAGGATTCGAACCTAAAACCTTCGAATCCTTGGCATGTGTCTAGCATTTACACCACGGCAACTTAGACAATTATAGTCAGAGTTATTTTTGAAAACTAGTTTCGATGAGGATTCGAACCCACAACCTTCAGACCCTTGGTAGGTGTCTAGCCGTTACACCACGACAGCTTAGACAACTATAGTCAGCGTGTCATTTACAGATGGTACCTTTGTATTATTTAACATTACAGCTGTGGCCTGCGACACTTGCTACAAAGATGAGAGCCTGGGCGACAGAGATGGAAACGTTTATTACTGCAACTCCAAAGACCTTTCGAGATGTTGTAGGGAGAAGGATCAGTGGACCTGCTGCGTAACAGAGAGCAAGAAGAACATGTAAGTTCAGCATCACATACAGACTTCACCTATATCTTCTTCTTCTCTTCCACCGTGTACCTCAATGAAGTGTCATGGATTCACATATAAAAGATACTAATTGTATACTGAACACAACTATATTGGGCACTCTTACACGGGACTCGGGAAATGAAAATTTACACAAATATGTGTTCGCAACATTATTTTCATGCTGACATTTCTTTACAGCTCGTAACTCTGGTGTAAAGTAGAAGACGATATTGACGGCGGCGAAGAGGAAGAGACAGGAGAAAAATAAAGAAAAAGAGATAGACAAAATAAATAATAATTTTAAAAAAATGAATGAAAAAAAAAGAAAAGGGACAAGAAGAAGACGACAATGAAAAATGTGAGTAACTGTTGTTTGAGACACCCCCCCCCCCCCCCCCACCAAAAAAAAATATTAGAAGAAGAGGAAGGGGGAGATTAAGTAAAATGAAGGCAGGGGGAAAAAAAGAAGGAGAGAAAAACAAAAAGAAATTTAAAGAAAAAAGAATGGAGAAAGACAGACAGAGAGAAAAAAAGAAATACAGGATTGATGACTAAAAAGCATTGTTAGAGACAAATAATGACGCGATGCTCCTTAGATGACGTTCTCTAACTAAACGAGCTATATTACTGTTCTTCTAGCACTGAGCAGCTACAGCTGTGGGGAGCCGTAGCGGCGTTCATTGTTGTCATCGTCATCTTGTTCATGTTCTGTAAGAATGACATCAGCTGCTGCAACAGTGACCTGTCTCTCAAGGACAGATGGTACAACTTCAGGTAAAATAATGTCTGTGATTTCTAGTTTCTACTCTACAATCGGTTATGATGCAACTCTCCCTACATCGTTGACCCACTGGATATTCGTTGGCAGTCGAGTTATCAATTTTATTGCAAGCCTGTGCCTGTAGAAGTAAATCAACATGTCCCTTACTGTTAATGAGAAAACACGTAGTCCTGGCAAAACTGATAATTCTGCACATGCAGTAAATGCATGGGCACAATGCAATAGTTATACCATTGTGGAAGAACAAGGAAAGCAAGCGAAAATGCAATCAATTTCGAGGCATCTCTCTTCTTAGTCATGTTGGGAAAATGTATTCTAAGATAATGGACACGAGGCTGCGACCAGTGAAAGATCCACGGTTGACAGAAGAACATATTGGTTTCAGAAGAAACAGAAGCTGCACAGGTGCAGTCTTCACACTAAAACAGTTAATAGAAAAGAACATCGAATATGATCGGAACTTATCTGTAGTATTTGTAGACCAGGAGAAATCTTTTGACAGGGTCATTAGACAAAAATTATGGAGAGTAATGGCTCGATATTGAAGTTTGCTTAAGCTTATATAGCGATTGTAGAAACGCAGTTAGAATAAATCAGGGAACATCTAAACCATTCAAATTAACATCTGGAGTAAGACAGGGATGTGTCTTATCACCACTCCTATTTATCACCTACATAGACAGTATAAGCAAGGATGCCAGGCCCAGGAACGAAAATAATAGTAACATCAACGAATTGCTCTTTGCTGATGACCAGGCCTTGATTGCAGATACAGTCATGAATTTGCAACAGCTTCTCACATCCATGAGTGAAGAATGTAAATCAAATATGAGAATCAACATCGAACAGACAAAAGTAATGTCAACAGGAAGAAAGAAGCCGGATTTGAACATAGAATTAGAGCATTCATATATTAAACAGGCATCTGAGTTTAAATATCTTGGAACAAAATTCAATGAAGATGGTAAGCTGGACGAAGAAGATACTGACATCCTATGCAGTAAAACTGGCCAAGTATTGAGACAGCTAGCCCCCTCTTACAGCAAAAGGTAATCCCAGTCAGCACAGAGAGACATCTCATACAAAGCATATTCATTCCCAACTTATGCTACCAGTGTCAGACGTTGTCACTCACAGCAAAACATAAAATAAAATTATTGACCATGGAAATGAGGTGTCTGAGAAAGGCTGTAGGAGTGACCAGAAGAGATAAAATCAGGAATGATGTCATACGAGATAAAGTCGACTTCGACACAGAACCAATTCTAAATTACATACATTATCATCATCCTCATGTAGCAGGTCCTTTGCTGAACGTCGCTCTCATCACAGTCTGCCTGAAAAAAAAAATCGGTCTCTCGCCAGTTCTCCCGCCTCATGAACTTTCACCCTCAAGGAGCCACTTATATCCTGTGTCCATCTTCGTGTCGGTCGGCCCCTGCCCCTCCTTCCTGGTACCATGCCTTCTGCTATATTTTTTTCCAATCCGTCGTGGCGCTTGATATGACCAAAATATTTCAGCTTTCGAGAAAGGATGCTGTTTATTAGCCAATCTTCCTTGATGTTCAGATCTTTTAAGATTTCAATATTTCTCATCTTCTTTGTCCAAGATATTCTGAGAATCTTTCTATAGCATTTCAGCTCAAAAGCCCCTATTCTCTTTCTTAAGGACTGATAGATAGTCCACGACTCACATCTGTATGTAGCCACAGGGAAGATGCATGCTCTCAAAATTATAATTTATATCTCCTTGCTGGTGCTTAACCATAGACTTTTAAGGCCGTTCAATCTTTGCATTGCTATGGCCATCCTCCTTTTAATTTCTGTCGAAAAGTCTCCATTGTTGTTTTTTATAGAGCCTAGATATTCAAAGTTTGGGACATTTTCAATTTCTTCATCATTTATTGTTATTTTTGGGTGACAGCAAGTAAATTAAATACACAGTAAATCAAATGGTCTGCCCACTTGGAGAGAATGTCTTCTGATGCTATACCATACACCAAAAGAGGAGAGGGGCGTACAGCAACAAGTAGGCCAAGAGGGAGACCAAAAAAGGAACGAACGCACGAACGATTAATTTATTTTCAAAGGCTCACACATTGGGCACGAGAGTGACTGAGAGAGAGAAAGATAGATAGATAGAGAGATAGATAGACCAATAGATATATAGATAGACAGACAGACAGACAGACAGACAGACAGACAGACAGACAGACAGACAGACAGACAGACAGACAGACAGACAGACAGACAGACAAATAGATAGATAGATAGATAGATAGATAGATAGATAGATAGATAGATAGATAGATAGATAGATAGATAGATAGATAGATAGATAGATAGATAGATAGATAGATAGATAGATAGATAGATAGATAGATAGATAGATAGATAGATAGAAAGGGAGAGAGAGAGAGAGAGAAAGAAAGAGAGAGGGGAGAAAGAGATAATGTTTATGGTATTCGCACCCTGACAAGGTGGAATATTTAAAAAAAGTTTTCCAAATTATACAATTTTAGAAGGAACATGAACCGGAAAACCGTGGACATACATGATTACCAATGCTGCAAGGCATAAACTATAAGAAGATGTGTCCGATGAGTGCAAGTAGTAGCTTTGCAGCAGTTTCATTTGTGAACATTTCTTTACCCGTTTGGCCTGTCTCTTTCGCAGGCACAAAGAAAAAAACAGAGAAGCCCACATCGTAAAGAAGGATCAACACATCCGAGAAACATACTACGACAACCCCATCGCCGACTTTGAAGGTCCCAGCAACTACTATCCTCCTCTAAGAGAACCTTACAATTTTCCTCCCCTCTCACCACAACATGGGATAAAGAACTACGACAACATGAACCAGTCATATGCATAAGGGTTAAACTCTTAACTGCACATAATTTGTGTTGCTTAATTCATCCATCGTATTCTCATAGTGCAGTATTTCCCATCTGGTGTTCCACTGACACATTTGAGGAGTACTTGATATTTAAAAAAAACACATTAACTTTAGAATTAAGACGTTTTTGTGATTCCAGTTATTTATAAATTATAATACATACTTCAGCGTGAATTTTAAACAGTAAGAGGTCCGCAGCATTATCTTCTAGCACAGTGGCTCTCAACCTTTCTAATACCGCGACCCTTTAATACAGTTCCCAATGTTGTAGTGACCCCCAACCATAAAAATATTTTTGTTGCTACCTCAAAACTTCAGTGAATATGTGTTTTCCGATGGTCTCAAGGAACCCCTGTGTAATGCTTGTTCGACCCCCAAAGGGGTCGCGACATACAGGTCGAGAACTGAGGCCCTGTGTAGCAGGGCCTTCACAGCAGTGTTCCCCAAAATTTTCACGCATGCGACCCACCAAAACAGATTACGTAACTGTGGGGTGCCCAATATTAACTGCCATATTGTAGTTGAGCTGATTTCTAGAATTTGTATCTGTCTGACTGCCATCTTTGAGGTGTTGATACCTGCAGACTGCAATTTTAGCAGATAAAATCTGCCTACAATACCAGTTACATGATTTAGCAGAAAGTTGTGTCGGCCTACCTGGACTTTTTCCGCGGTTTTCCATAGTTTAAAAAACCCTGACTGAAAGAATGTCGCTTCCAATACTTTCTTGTCAGCTTTCCGGCCTCATGCACTTATACTACCCAATGTGTATCTTTACCTTGTATCGGCCTGTGCCCCTCTCACCCGGTAACATTTACTCCACTACTGTACTTTTCAATCCACCGTGGCAGTTGATGTGGCAAAAAAAGTTCAGTTTCCGAGACAAGCTGCTTGTGTCCATGGCACAACTTTGAAAATATCAGAAATGTCCGTAGGTCTTAGATAATACTAGTCAACATATTTAAAAAAGTTATTTTGTATCAGAATTTAAATACACGATTTCCAGCTGATTTCAAAAATCACAAAGAAATTCCCCTAATTTTTTATATGATAACATTACACTAATATAAGTCATGCGTGTTTGTTTAATTCCTTGGGGTGAACAGTCTTTCTACTGTAGCATTAAAAAACATGTTTTTGCCTCCTTCCTTGAACGTTTCAATTTAAACTGCTAGAACAAAAAGAGATGTTTTCTAAAGTTCGCATATCATGTTTTATAAAGGAACATTTTAACCAATTCTGTCATTATTCAGTCGCTGTTTCAGCTCTCTATGTTTGCATTTCAATCAAACCTATATTTTATAGACTATACGGATGGGTGATGTAGTCAGTGTCATGCCGACCAACTTTACTTCCATGACTATACCTGGTACCTATTTCGGGCTGGGTTGACCTGGGAGCCAACTGTTGAAAGAAGTCCTGATCCGAAGCGGACCTGAACATATGACTTTCCGATTCTCAGGCGAGCATCTATCTGCTACACCGCTAAACGCATATTTGTAAAAGTTGACTTATTAGAGGTGTTCTTCTCAACGCTGTGGTGTAAATGCCTGACTGATGAGGCACGAGAAACCAACAGTCTGCATAGTGATAAACCAAGAATGAAAACTGATGTGCAGGCAAAATTCAAGTTATTGAGGAAGTGCATGAACAACCAAAATGTTATGTCAGAGTTAATAGCTGGCAATTATTTTTTTAAAATTGTTGAAAGGGTTAACAAGAGTGATGTGTTGCTTCTTTATATTGAGATGTTGTGCCCTTTACTATATTTGTTAACTTTGTACCATGAGTTAAAAAAGGGGCGGGGACTGACCTTTTTCACGTCATCTGACCGATGCTCAACATTCAAAGAAAAGGCCAGACAGATGTACAGTCAGGCAGTTACTGGTACCAACGGAATTGGAACTTTTCACTTGCTGCTGGAGATGGGGATGGATCGCTTATGGGAGTGTCCCGAGTGCTATGATGTAGGTTCTTAATTCAACATTCATGCGTTGGGCATGTAATGCTAGCCACATATTTTTTTTACAGACTAATCGGAGCTCATTGTGTGATGTGTTCAATGTCATTTTGGCTGCCTTTTCTTCCCAGAACACTGCCTGGTACCCATTTTAGGTTGGGTCAACCTGAGATCAAGACAAATTGTGAAGAAGAAACAGAATTTAAACTGTACACTTTCTGACAGGTGAGCATCTGGCTATCAGCAGCTCCAATTGTTTTTGGTTGTCAGACTTGCTGATCGTCTTTGCAGTTGTGGTATGATGTCTGTTGATCGCCCCTACCCAGAAGGCACCCCCACCCCCCTCATGTTCTCTGTACCTCCACTCTTTTGGGCATCATTCTTTCAGTGCCAGTACTGTGTAACACTCTTTATGGTGAGACCAGCACCTAATTCTACTGAAAAAAAGCCCTGCTCACACCAAATCCTTGCTACCAAAATGTCTGGCAGTATCTCTTGCACATGTTTATCTCTCCTTCTTCAAATAACATATACATATACATGTATTCAGCACTGAATGTTTCCTCCTTTAGCACATTTGTGAACATTGTATTATGTCTAATTATTGTACTTGACAACACATTTGCAGCAGTGGTTGTGATTTTTGATTCCACATATCAGATCGATGATCCAGGCTCAACTGAGCATATATTACATATAATCTACAGATATATTTTTAGACCATTGGCATACTTGCAAAAATATTTTCACATTTGAATACACATAATTTCAGAAACATGTTAAATCCCTTTGGTGGGAAATCTTATTCTCTTTAAAAAAAAAAATAAACTGTTTTCCTGCAAAAGTTCATTTTTGTTTTTTAAAGTTGTGTTTTTAATTTATCTTACTTATTATTCTAACTTCTACATCCCCCTAAAAAAAATGTAAAAAAAAAAAATAAACCTGCATTAAAGTCATATTCTTTGCTATCGCGTACAGATTAGTCTCTGATTTCCCAACAATTTTTCTGTCTCTTATTCTATATTTCATGTACCACACTGGTGCAAGGACAATTATAGTTATTCCATCATTACCAAATTGACATATCAAGTGTCCCCATCTTTTGCTCAGCTCTAGATTCCCCTGTATTTCTTCAATTTGTTAGCTCCACATTAGTTGACCTATTTTAACCCTCTTTTATTCTGTCAGCGTCTGTGGCGTAGGTGCTGCGAATGAGTTTGATGATATGACTTACCATGTGACAATTTGAAGAAACAAGAAAAGTAATACGAAAATCAGCAGGCTTGTTGTTTGAACAGGCAACTAAAACACTTTGAGATACAAGCCGTAATGATATAAGCAGAGTAAGTTCATTTTTCAATAGTCACACATGTTTTGAACAATTTATTTATATCACAAATGGAAACATCCCTCTGAAATGAATAATGTGGTTAATTAACATGCAAACAGGTAATAAACTTCTGTAAAACCTTAACATAATGATCAAGAAAAAGGGCAAAAAACCTGAATGCAAGAACTAAGCAGAAAGATATGCTGGCACTTTTTGTCCAACTCAATTATCTGATAATAAATAACTAGAGGACATCAAAACCTTTTACATCATGAACAAGAAAAGGAAATGTTCTCGAAATATTCACATTTTCATAAAATGGAATTGATTATATAATGTATTTTGCAACTCTCTCCTATAAATATTCACATTATCATAAAACTGATGCACTCGAAAAAATGTCAATGAATAATGCAAAGATATCCCTGCGTGGATTCCGTGGCCGCATCGTGGGGGAAGTGAGGGGGAAACAAGAATAGACCCACTGTCTTCCCAACAAGCATGTCGTAAGAGTCGACTAGCTGGGGGGGCTTTCTTTGAAGTTGGAGTGCATCTGCCTGAGAGGTAAGGAACCAACAGTCTGCATACACATCAGTCAGATATTTAAAATGGATGTGCACACAACACTCAGGTTCTGGAATCAGACTAAAGTTCAGAGGTGGATGAAGAACCAGAACTTTCCACCAAAGTTTACAACCGGTGAATGCAAATATACAACTCTAATGCTAAAAAAAAATGAAAACTAGAACACAAGTTTCAATTAATTGGCTGCTGTCCCACAACAAATGTTGGCACACCAGATCTACAACTTTCTCTTGCCCTGGCTGTCCACTCTCTCAGATTGCTGTTCATCCATTTCTTTTTGTTGTCTTCCGACTTTTATCACTGTCTACTCCTTGCTCTCTTGCCTTCAACGTTTCCTCCAATATAGTTTTTAAGAGTGTTGTGTCTTTTTTAGAAGAGCTTTCCAGGCAAGACTTATAAGGTGTGAGAAATAGGCGGAGATATAGAAAGAACAGAATGTTAGATGCAGTACAAATCATTGTTGCGTAATGAGTGATAGACATAGAGGCTAGGAAAAATAAGTGCCCAAGACAAATGTGTGAACCCACAGGTTAAGCTGAGTTACGAATCAATATCACAACACATAGAGTATTCCCATAACCTCTCTGTCACCATCTACAGCAACCAATGAAGAGCTCCAATTCTGATTGTACCAGCAGCAGTCTATCTTTCTTGCCTTTCTTCTAAGTCTTAATGAACCCACATGTGAATTATCAATGTTGTTCAATCCCAGGCAGTGTCAGAGAAGTATAATAAACAAACATATATTGATTGACACTCATACAAAGAAGTAGAAAGATATAGACTAGACAACATAACCAATGAAAGCTAGTGTCCATGCTGGGAATCGAACCTCTCACCTGCAAATGACCACAGCGCCTCATTGCAGAAACCAGAGATCCATTATTAATTAGACACCCCCTCCCCTCCCACCTCACAAAAAAAAGGTACAGCTTGAATCCATAACTATGGTATTTGGACAGAACTCATCTCAAGTCACTGAAATTGCACCATAGGTTACTGAAATGTACAGATATATGCAGCAGCAAATGGTTAGTTTATGTCTTATGGTGTCATAATGCCTAAATCCAGCGCTGTCCCACTACTTTGATGAAATAACTG